TTACGTAGGTCACTGGTGAAAATATTGAAAAATCTCCTGCATCAAAAATGCTTATTGGTGCTCAGTAGGTGCACGATAAATTTCATGAAAATATCTGAAACAGTAATGAAGTTATGATGAGAAACAGTAATTTACGTAACAATAACCCCGGAAAATACTGTTTTTTTGGACGATTAGACAAAATTTTAGGCTGAGCCGTAGGCGAGTCCTGGAAGTCTGCGAGTCCAAAAAAATTGTTTTTAGACGTGTTGCGTACACTTTTTTTGCAACCATGTAGAATGACAAATCAATGAGACACATTTCCATATTATATTTCTTTGTAGAATACAATTGCCTCTTTATTAGTTTTCATTTGTATCAAATACTGAAATTTGAACAGAATACCTATACCTACTAACAACTCGTGGGTCATCTCACGTAATGACGTATCTCATAAAAATCGGAATCTGAGATACTTCGTCAAGTGATTTATATTCTTGTACTCTATGATCTCACAAAGTGGCGTAACTCAATATTCAATGGTCTTCGTGCAATTGAAAATCTAATACCCAGCCTATCTCAAATTATTGGACTACCAAATCTCACGAAGTGACCTAACTATAGGATTTACATCAGTACGTGAGAAATATTCTCATTATGTGTTGGAAATGTCGAAAGTGACGTATCTCACATCGGGTTTGTCGCGGAAATTTAAAATATCTTGGGTGACGTATATCAAGGTACTGAAAGGAGGATTGTACAAGTGGAATGAATTTCTGTGTTTTTTTCAATAAAAATGAATATTCAGATCTGTTATTCATTTGAATTCACTCGATATCCATGGGTGTATCTGAGGCTCCATTAACAAACATGATCTCACGTAGTGACGTATCTCATAACTTTTTTTTTTTCGTTTTTGGGGATACTTTTTCGAAATCTCACCATATCATGACAACTAGTTCCAGTTCATCCACTGATAAATGAAAAAATAATGATCTTTCATGAACAACCCTCTGAGTTATGAGCTAATTAAGATGTCGAAAATCTTTGAACTGCTCTGCTGTAAAATTAGGAGAACTGAGATACGTCACTACGTGAGATGACCGTCGAACTGTTACATTGGAAGTTTCGTATGGACATTTTCAAACCCACTATCGCATCTGCTTTCGATAGTTTATTGCGATAATTGCAACCAAACTTTCAAAAATCAAAATGTTAACTAATTTCATGTCAAATAGCTGTCAGCCGATTTTTCGCTGCTATGGTAATTATCATCTGTAATTATCAAAACCATATCTACCAAGATTTTCATAGTGACAGTGACAACAACGATGTGATACTTTCCGGCCTAATCCGGGAAGTACGTGCTTCCCGGACTAGGCCGGAAAATGATACTTTTATCAAAGTAAAAGCGTCCGGGAATGGTTGCCGAGAATAATATTTTCATGAGATTTACAAAACAAATACAATGCCGATACACTAAATGTATGATGATTATGGATATCTAGAAATACCTAGCCCATAGCTATTTAGTTGGGTTCACGAATTTCATTGTATTCGTATTCTGTGTGGGTATTCCCTAGTTGGTTATATCTGAGTAATTATATTCTTTGGTAGGTAATGATTACATTCGATTTTGATTAGATTTAATTTAGTTGGAAACAATTTTCAACTATAGGTCTGATAAAATTTCGATATTTTCAGATACAGCTAAATAATTTGAATACCTACCGAATACATATAACATAATATTTTTTATGCACGGCCGGGCGTAAATTAGAACTCTACCACCCGGTTATGTGGGCGTAAAGTGGTACTTTGGCGCCGGCGGATTGCTATTTATTATCGCCCTGCGTCTAAAAATATTATAACTCGTACTAAACATTCCTGTAATATGTATAACCATTCAGGACATCTATCCGTTGTGATGATTCATTATCTGATATCTAATGATATAATCGAACCAAAAATGAGTTATCTGTGATGACATATTATTTGACAGCAAATATAATAGGCTATGGTTCTATTCCTTTTTCAAAAAATTGAACTAGTTACCATGGTAACGTTGTGATATTCCTTCGTTCTTGAAAGGTGAAGAGGAATTCACAATGAAAAATCAAATATACCGGTCGTGCATAAAATGTTGTATGTATTTCAGACGTAACTTGCTTTTATGGACCTTGGCGTGTTAACAGCCCTCGCTAACTTATACTTACACGCTACGGTCCATGAAAGGCTATTTCACGCTCTGGATACATTAATAGGCCGCTGACTCTAGACAGAAAACAGGGCAAAGTTCGCATTAATTCCTTTATACTTTTGAAGATTGCTAGGCTATGTCTCAATAATGGTATTGAGGGCGTACTGATTCAGAGCAATCGACTTTCCCAGTTCCGTTTATTTCAATATTTGAAGTTGGTACAGTTACGCTATTGTAAGTTACACTCTAAAAAAATGAATATATGTGTTATGAACTACAGATTTTCATGTGAATTTGAAGCACTTACATATCAGGCCTAAATACGACATACCATATTGATATAATGAATATTATACATACCTAAACCCAGGGACACTTTGCTCCTTGTTTTCAAAGATTGGAGATTCCCCACGAGGCTTTCAGAATCAGTAACCTTATTAATACCACTCAAATCAAAGAATCCACTAGGCAACTATAGATGTTTTTTGCGGTATTCAATACAAAAAAATATGTGAAAATGTTTATGGAAGTTAGTCAAATTATGGTACCTAGGCATTAGCGAGAATAGAGAGGAATGAGACTGCAGAAAACGATCAGAATACGGTACTTAATAAAATGTAGCATTCTGTATGGTTCTATAGTATAAAACCGATTTTGCAGCTTCGAAGAGTGAAAGACCTAGGCTAAAAGTATGGTACTCGAAAATCCTTGAAATTTCGCGACTATAAATTCGGTTTTTAGCCCAAAAGTCAATCAGATATTTTTTGAGGATGGATAAATTCCCTACAATTTGGAATTTAATTTCATCTTTCTGGGTCCGAATCACCCCAAGATACAGGACTTCAAAAAGTTAATTTTTTCCGAAAATCGAAAATTGCAGAGTTAGACTTCTTATGAGCCAAATATCAGCTCCAATACTCATTCTACTACTCATTTACTTTAAGAAAATTATGATATAAAGTTTTATTTCTCATAACCAAGTGAATTGGCCAAAAAAACAATATATTGAAAGTCAATACTTGAGAAATGGAACCTGATAATTATATTTGCAGTACCAACCTATTCTGAATATTAATGACATGAAATATGAATGAGAATAACACTACAGTTCCTTAATATACTTGACAGTTATGTTTTGGATATTTTCAACTCTTAAGTAAGTTATGAGTTTTGCTAACTCTAATCTTGGCACCCAAATCTTTTTGTTGTAATTTATCTTCCAACTCTATTTCTTCTTTCATTATTTGTTTTCTGAACCCATCACTCTTTCTCACTAGGAAACCTTGAAACATTTTCAAAAATTTTCTGAATTTTCCATTATCAAATCTTCATTAAAATATGTTCCGAATTGAATTTCTAAAAAATGATCGCCGGAAAGAATGTGAGCCCCAGAGCACAATATAACTGTTGCCATCATAAACACACTGTCCATTTTAAATCGGTGTCATCTGCAGAACTGCATTGTTTAGATACTCTAGACTCTCTCACCATTTCTTTCCAGTACTTCTTAGTCTAGTCCAAAAATACATAGACAGATTCATTTCTCCAATCATTTACGTTTCATTTGATTTCATACATTATTGGTACCAATATGAGTTCATCAAATTGTTACATGCATATATTTATTTAATTGAAAACATAAAATATAGTATAGATATGCATTAGACATTTTCTGTCGCTTCCTTAAAATATGTTGGTGTAGCAAATCTAATCGACAGGTTCCATTTCTAGGAAAATCAAATTTTTGGCTATAGTAGTTTTTTAAAGATAACAATGGTGCTAATTGGGCCTACACGCTTGATTATAAGCATAAAATGAAGCTATATAAATACACTAGAACTTTGTTCACACCCAAACATACTCTGAACCTGTTGGATTCTGTTCAAAAAAGGGCAATTCGTCTCGTGGGGGATGCTTCGCTTACAAACTCACTCACTTCTCTGGAACACCGTAGAAAAGTTGGCGATCTTGCTCTCTTTCATAGATATTTTCATGGACGATGCACTTCTGAAATATCAACAATTGTTCCTCCCTTGGCAGTCCCCGCGAGATTAACCCGTCGAGTTGAGGCTTCGCACTCCTTCGTGGTCACTTTGGAGACCTGCAGAACATATCTTTCCAAAGACTCGTTCATCCAACGAACAGCGAGGTTCTGGAACACATTGCCAAGGGAGGTGTTCCCCGAGGCATATAACCTCCAGAAATTTAAGAAGAACACCAATTCCTACCTTATTTCCCTTGGCTCTCACGATGTTCTCTGAACATTACAGGAAATCCCTTTTCGTGGGAACCAGAACATAAGAAAAAACTTCCTCGCTGGATGAGTCTTTCGTTCAGAAGAGGACCAAAACTGCAATTTTTTACTTTTTGAGAAAGAAGCCAAACTTTTGTGTCCTGTATCTTGAGTTGTGTTTGATTTACAAGAATGGAATCAGAATCAAACTGTTCGGAATTTATCCAGCATCATAAAAGGTCCTATTAACTTTTTCTTTAGAAGCCGTCTTATAGCACTTTTGGGCTAAAAACCGAAATCAGTCGAAAAATATCGAAGTTTTCTGAGCATTATCCTTACTATTGACACATAGCCTAACAACATTCGCAAAAAAAGGAATGTGCGAATGGGTGTCTAAAGTCAGCGGCCTGAATTAACTATTCAATATTTTCATTTGAGGCAAATAAAATTTTGGATATACTATTATTTTGGGAATATAATTTATAATTAGCTAACTGTTAACTAAATGTTTCCAATAATGAAATGAAAAAAATAATAGTCAAATTAACATTTTTTTGAGATTTTGAGAGAGCAGTGTGCTGTTTTCAGAGAGTCGGAGCAAGAACCTACATCTTATGCCGGCTATCATCTAGCCTATGAAGTGAAAAAACTCATGTACGCTTAATCAAACACTATCTGAGAGTATATGTATTGTTGCTTGCAGTGCTTGACTGTCGTCCTCTGCATCAAGAACCAAGGAAATATGCATGTTTCGGTATTCATTGTTCCCGAGTGCACAATTTGAGTAGTTAATGATTTATGATCATAAATAGGTACCTGAAACATGATCCACTCAACTTCAATCACCTATAATGAAAATTATGATGGGCGACCGCTATGCGAACGCGACGCGAACATGTCAAACCACGACAAATATTAAAGTGTCCGAATTCAACTGAGAGCTTTTTTTTGTCGAAGTAAACTTGACATGTATCAATATGAATTTTGTTGCCTGGCAATTTGACGAAAAAAACTGCCTCTAAAAAAATTACGAGTCCGTAGGACTGGCAGTATTTTGAGCTGGAGTGTAATTCGGTAAGACAATTTAATTCATTAAACATTATTTGTTTATGGCTGGTTGTCACGCTTTCAAAAGTTAGGTTCCGTTTTTGTCACTGGAAAAGTTAGAGCAAATTTTTTTCGCTGTCATAATGAAAAAATCAAGCGGCTTGTGGGATTTTTCATACATGAATTAAATTGTCAATAGAACCACAGACTCTGCTGAAAATCTGTGTTTTGAAATATCAGATCAAAAATACAGTGCTGTAATTAGGAACATGTTTACATGAGTAATCAGCAACAAGCGTCTAGCTAGCGAATATTTCAAATCTATCAGAAACCATTCGTGTTTATAAGACTTATAAGGTAATATGAGGAAGGAAAATATCTCTTCTGCATGAAAAAGGAAAGTACTTTCAACCTAACTTGTCCTAAGTGAACCTTTTTCCTGAAAAGTATATTTTTGCAAAATTAATTGAGTAAAAAAGAATTTAAAAAAATTGACGCCTCGCAGGGATTGAACTCCAGTCACCACCGTGGAAGTCAGATAAAGAGAAAACCAAGCTATCGCTTTATTCGTAGTAGTCGTAGTTTCTCAATATAGAGAAGGATGAAATATCATGTGTTGTGGGTGACGTCACTTGAACTCGAAGTTTGAAAGATTCGCTGCTCTAGCTAGACGCTTATTAATCAGCAGCAGTTAATCAGTCGGTGGAATTTGTCAGTTGTCAGGTTGGCACTTATGTAGTTTCTTGTTGATCTGGCCAATTATTTAAACATGCATTTTCTGATATTAAAAATGATATCATCAAATTATTATTGATGAGACAAGACTTGATATTTAAAAAACAACTGAATAAAATGTGACATTCCTTCCCCCCTCTAAAATAATGACAATTCACTGAAGCCATACTACCTTTTGATAGTCAGCAATTTCAGCAGAATGTTGAAGCGAAATATTTGGAATGAATAGTATGTCTGCTCACAAGAAGTATCTGTCAGTTTCAGTGAATATTTTTGATTTCGGAATGAAAAATCAGCAGATTCAGAACTGTTAGTTGAATTCGGAATATAGCCTGTGTGAACAAACGATGAACACACAACAGGCGAGGCGATGCGATCAAATGGGTTGAACTAATGGCTAACCAGCGTTAACATACCTAACAGTATTGCCTAGCTTAATTCGAATTCCTACGTCTACGAATCGAGAGGCTGCAAAAGTTTTCGAATCAGAACTTAAAATATGTTTGATTACTTTGCACTACAAAGTGTGGTCTAAAGATATTACGAAAAAGATATAAAGAAGGAGGTCATTTGATAAGTAAAACCAAAAAAAAATTAAAAATGTATCGTTTTTTCAATACGAAACAGGCGCGTACACAAATTTGTTCCATGTGGAAAGGAGGTAATTCGAGGCGCGGGGTTGACAGGAAGGGAAAAAGCGCTGCATGCGAAACTTTTTGTTGTTCAAGGTCAAATGCCTTCAAATTGATGGTTAGGTTTGTCAGCGGTGCATGATAAAGGTGGGAAAAAATATTTCAAATTGAGTTTGTTTTATTCACTTGGAAATTTATTGAGGCAACAAAAATCAAATTATAAATGTCAAGTTTACTTTGACCCAAAAAAATGCATGAGTGTAATTTGGTTAACATTATTATTGATGGTTTTTTCGATTTTCCCACTCTCCAAACTCTCCAAATCGCGACATTTCCAAAGATTATATACGTTTCTGTTTCTGGCAACGCAAGTTTGAGAGAAAATTACATAAGAACACAAGTTTCCGTTTTGTCGCTGGAGAAGTAAGTCAAACTTTTTTCGTATACCTACATAAATTATATTATCAAAATTAAAAACGAACGCTGCAGTTTGTGCAATTTTCAATGTCTACGAAGAAATATATAGAATAGTAGTTACACGTTGAATGAAATTTTGTGAATCTTAAAGTATATTTTGATTAGCCGTGCCTGCGAATCACGAAAACAAAGGCCACATAGTTGAGAGATCCAAGTAGATTTCCTTTGATATTATCCTAGCTGGAATTCAACATTTCTGCTATTCAAGTTAAGACTTGATGAGAGTCTCAAAAAAGAGACTCTCGTGCGAACAACTACTGAAAAGGCTTTAATACAGGGGGGAGGGGCATGAAAGGCGCAAAATTTTCCGAATTAAAACAGGAGGGGCGAAGAACAGAAGTTTGAGAACAGCTGCAGTGTACAGAATAAACAAAAACTAAACTATACTTCAAATACAGTCAGTCTGTAGGTTAATCGAGGAGTTGGTACATTCATTTTTCTTGTGTTATAACTTGAAACAGGGGTTATGAAAAATGTATGATGTACCTATTTGATATCATTCAGAGTTCTTAATTATCAGTTCAGAAATTGAAATATTAGTTGAAGTCTATACCAAATAAGTCAGTAGGAACAACACATCACCGCGGGCCGTCGGTCCTTTTGAAAGTTCAAAGAGAGCGGCAGTGCGACCCGACATTCCTTTGATGATCTGTTTCAACTGACTTTGCATGGACTATAACTCTTTAGTTGTTCATTTTCAAATTAGATATTAGATGACATATAGAAATATGCAATCTTTTAATAGCATTTAGTTGATGATTTATATAGTCACCATCAAGGCAAATAATTGTTTTCTCTGATAGGAACTAATTGAAGAATTATTTCCATATGAAACGTGTTGAGTTGTGACACAAAAATTCTAGCTAATAATATCAAGACCTTATACATACAAGCATACAACTGACATTGGCTGGTCAGGTTATTTTGAATGTTGTCAATGCTTGATTAGGATTGACTAATTTCCTTGACTTGCCCAGCATCAGATGAATCTAATGATAAATGATTTGATTGAGTTGACATAAAAGTAAATGTTATACCTACAGTTGTTATACTCAAATGGTGTTAAATTTCACGTTTCATGAATTATATAGTAAGGAACATTTTATTTCAGATGGGTATGAAGTAAATACATCATACAAAATGTCCCCAATGGTAAAGTTGTTTTCGTTATTCTAATTTTATATATTTATTTATTTTATTTATATATTCATATAATAAAACAGCAGAAAAAACATGGAAGTATCCGAGTATTTGTTCACGGTAAGATGGCGCGATACAACAATTGAATAAATAAAAGATTGGAATAGAAAGATCACGTGGACGGTGAATATTAATAAATTGATATCATTAATTATCATCAAAATAGCTTCATATATTTTCATTGGGTGGATCATGTGATATTTACAACAAATTTCACCTTTTCAATATTTTTTAATTCTTAACTTGTAACGACAGGTGAAATATTTGTGGACAAAATGAGAAATGCTCTAAATTTGCTCGTCCAAACCATCTTCTACTACATATTTTGGCATATGTTAGTAGCAAGCAGGTAGGTACCTATGAAAATTAACCTAATTTGTGGTTGTCTCTTAGAAACAAGGTATATTGAAATGAGATAAACATAATTCGAAAACTCAGTAAAAAATGTTCAGAGATATATAGAGAATTGTTCTTTGGTGCTTGTAATGAAGTAGATTTCGTCTGCATGTTGTGGAATTTTTAACCATAAGACGATCAATTACATATATGCTTGAACAATAATAGTGCAATAACTACTTATTATTTTCCTATTTTTCATTTCATAGTATGCCACACCTATTTCTGTACGCATTATTAATATTTAACTGTTTCTTTGTTGACTGATAAATGAGAATTATTCATTGCCTCAATAGTTCAACATGAGATATATTCGAATTATTTTAATTTTCCTGACTGCTAATTTCATCGGTGTCGTATCTTGTTAATATTTGATGTTTTCAAAATATGCCAATAATTGCGTAGATCGTAGATAAAGCTTCTTACTGCGCTTCGCATTTTAGCTTCCACTGTTCTCAGTCATCATAATATTCATCAATCGATAGTCAAGTATAAAGAGTTAATTTGTAAATCTAATTGTTACATTTAGTACAAACGTCTCACTTTTCACAACCAGTTTGGAAATGAAAACCTGAGTGACCGTTCCACATAACTACTGACAATGAATAGACGATTGTAAGTGTGATGGAAACTTCAATCTGACCAAGGGCTATATGTTTATTTGCAATAATTGGTTTCATCTAGGTTGTATTTACTCAGAGATCTAAATAACAAATATAAAAACTCTTGGATGTAGCTGACACATTAGGAAATACGATTCTAGGGTGTTTCAAAAAAACCTAACCCCCTTGCTAGGGTAGGTAGAACATTGCAAAATAAGTTGGGTTTGCTCAGTAAAAAAATGTCGTAACGCCATCCGTTTTCAAGATACAAGGTGTTGAAACAATATTTTTTTAACACATTGTTTACGATTATGTTGAAACTACTGGCAACATTGTGATGAAATTTTGAATGGATGCTTCTTGAAATCTGACACATCGCATGCATTTGTTTTTATATCTGATTCTCATAGAGGGCGCTAGTTACACGGTTCGTACCGAGTAGTTTTGAACATAATTTTTTTGAGGTTAGATTTTTCGTTACAAATTTGATGTGAACTTGAACATCATTCAATTTCACACCAAAAAGGTAGCTATGGTAAAACTCGATACTGTGTTCCGTTTTCGG